ATGCTCTTTTTGTACTGAAAAGTAAATACAATTTTTCTATAGGTAATGACTTTGGTGTCGAGTGTATACAATATTGAGCAAAAATTTGGCTAGTTAAATTAATACGGTACGTAATCTATAACCCTACTACTAAGTAAAAATAAAGATGTCTTTATCCAGAACTTTAAAAATAAAATCTAATATTATTTATTAAAAAAAAAGAAAAATAAAGAAGTATTTATATTAAACTAATAGCTTCATTTATAAATTGAGATCGGTAGTTATACAAAAACCAAGCAAGAAATATATCTATAAATAATATATAAATAATTTAAATTCAGATGACAAATAAAACAGCTTTGAAGCTTAGCTTGGATTTCACTGATTTTTACAGAGTTAACATAAACAGCATTATTCAGAGGAAATTTTACAATACCGCTGTGATACAGGAGCAAATCCCAGTATGAGCACAAAATGCATAATAGTGCAGGTAAAATAAAGATAACTTTTTGTTTTCTTTTGTTTTAAAAAAAAATCTTAAAATTCTAAACTGATTTTCCAGAATTTTACTGTTTAGGTTTGTATTATGATAAACAACGTATATTGATAGGGATAGAGAAGAAAACAAAGAAATAGGTAATACAGGAAACATGCAACGCTTTTGCGTAACAGACTACCTTGAATAGTTAATTGTTACAATTGTACTTACAATGATTAAATACTACGTTATGACTTCAACTTAAATATCTTTAAGAGATATACATTATAATCTAAACATCTTTTAATTCTAGATCCTTACAATATGGCAGTTGTTAAATTGCTAGCTGGGTTGTTATTTAAACATATATGATCTCTTTTTGTAAAGAACATGAGCGCGGTATTTCGTTGCTTTAAAAAAACAACGATAACATTATGATGTTTTATCACAACCATTATTGCCATAAAAATATGCGTAATGTATTTGGTAGTTCAATTTGCAGGTACGTCACGTATAATAATTAAAAACGTTTATGTATGGAAGCCAAAATAAATATATTGCATACAACTCATAAGTACATTTAAATAAATTTCTTAGAGGATTTGGCAAGAAAATAAAATTTTGCTACTTATTTTTAATTTCATTGAATATTTGACTCCGACTCGCACTCTTATCGTCATTTACTCGTAAATATCAGAATGCCGTATTGAAGAATATTATTCAGATAGCCAAAGACAATATAGAAGTTAACAATAACAATGCAGCACTTAATACGACACTTAATCAGATCTAGCACACATTTAAGCATTGAGATCTACATTCCATGTTATGAAATGTAAAGAGGTATTAGAAAAAAATCTATGTATTCGGATATCCAGTTGTTGCTGATTCCTGAGTTTTTAATTTTAGATCTTCGTGGCTATCACACGGAAATTATCTATTATTTATTATTTGCTAAATGGCTACGAATGTATGAATGTATATACAAAAATATATAGGCACGCAGATAAAAATATTTGTATGTGCGTGAACATTGTTTTAGAGCACCGATTACAGTTACAAGTAGAAGACGCAACGACCGACGACGTGCTTAGAGCGAATTCGTATTTATTGGATCTTTTTTATTTGGGATTGGCACATTCTGAAGTAAGGTATCCCAAAAAGACCAAGTTTATAACTATTATAAGTTGATAATTTATTATGTTTTTATCTAAATCAAAAAATATAATTTGTATCATGTATTACAATGCCGAAGCTCGGTAACTCACAAGTGACAAGAAACGCCGCGTTTGTTAGCGTCAAAATTACAACGAAACTTAAAGACCTTAACCCTATATTCATTACTTAGGTATATCTTAACAAATTCTCCACTTTAAAATTATCTTCACATCTTAAAAACAATTTCGATATTAACGATCACATTATACAACAATAATATTTTAATAAAATTCGTATGTACACACTCGAACATTGCTTTAATTTAAAAATTCTTACATGTATAATATATTTATATTAACTTTTTACATATATATTTACATAATATCTTTTATACTTAAATAATAATATTGCAGCTCGGAGCCTTATATCTGTTTTTCAAGAACTTTCTATTCTCCGACACATTACAAGTTGGTATCACATACATCTCTTCAAACCATCTTTTCGAATCATTTTGGAATTTTCATGCAGCTTTTGTCTGAGTGGAAATTCTGCTTGCGTCATATGAAAAATATATTTTCGAGGTTTCAGCACCCAGTTTTTGACCGATATTGGCGAAGAAAAATTAAACACTTTTACATGTGTGTGATTTGTTCAAAGGCTGTGTTATAATTCTGACAAATTAATAACTACTTATTGTTAATGTTACTTACATATTTTGTTTATAATAGGCCAAATAACAACAAAATCCAACATGGCGAATATGCAATAATTTTTTACTTAATGGTTTAAGGTATCAAATTTAAGTAGTTAACTTTTTATTAGTATCGACAACCTTGCTCTTTCCAAATCCGGTTCCTTTCAGCACTCCCTTCATTGACATGTTTCCTTATCTGAAACGTGTTAAAACAGCGCATACTTTAAAAGAAGGCGTTTTGCGCGGCGTTAGCTGTGTTGAGTATGAGTATTGTCTCCTTGTTCTTAAAGGGCCCTTTTTGTAAACGATACAGATATGTTCATAAAAATTTTAGTCTAACTTTGTAGTCTTTTAGTCGAATTTGAGATACTTACTTACTAATTCATATTATAATGCATTTATATGGGTACATAGGTACACTATGAAATTCAAATTTGTTATTACCTAATAATTCAGTCAATATAATATGTAACATGTAGTGATAAATATCACTGAATGGATTGCAATCGACTGGACGATTCCAAGTCAAATTTTACGCTCGGATTTCTGAACAGTGTGAAAACGTTGTTTATTATTAAGCTAGTATGTACTCAAAAAATACATGCAAAGGTGTGGACGGAATTTATTTATTACACTCATGTAATAGTTTTACAACAAATCTCTGATGATCCAAAAAAATTCCTTTGGAAGCCTATTAAATTAAAAAATTAAACACCATTGCGTTTTCATGAGTACCTAGTTTACTGACTAAATGATATAATGAACCACGATCTGACTATAATATTTATTAACGAATAAAACAAAGTTTAAAGTATTAAATTTAAAATATTCCTAGCACTCCTGCATTAGGCTGCCTTTCACCTAGTTTGGCCAGGTTCGGTGGGTCAAATTTCGGGATAGAAGATAAAAATTATCGGGAATTTGGTTTTAGAATTGGGACAGTTACAATAGCAACAAAAAGCTGACTTTTTGTAGTCATTTTGGTCGCCATTGGTTATTCTGGTCTTTTGACTTAATGCGCAATGTGTTTTATAATTATTATTTGGGACTGATAAAATGAGCGAAAGAAAAACTGTACATTTTTGTCTGTGTGCAATCAAACGGATAATACCTCATACCTTGATAGACTAGATAAAATCCTTGCACCGGACGTATAATGTCCCTTTATTTATTAAAAACAACAGTACCTACACCCGATTGAAGATATTGACTAGTGGCAGAACTTACCCACAAGACTTTTGCATTTTACTAAATGTACTTATTTAAACAGCAGCATGTAATTTAGGTACTGTACTGATTACTAGTGAAATAATGAAATAACAAATGCTCGTCGAATTAACGACATTGATGCATAGCGCGACGCGGCGGGTGGCATAAGGCAGTGAGAGAAAAAAAACGAGGCAACCTGATTGATATCTGTATCACGCCAATACATTACGTGCAAAGTTTAAAACTTTGATGTTGACTATTTAGTCTGAGTTTAGTGACAAAATATAAAATTGTCAAAAATATTTTTAATGTAGTAACAGCAACAGATATATTTAATTTTGTTATCAAAACGATCGATCGAAATACACACGAATGAAGTTAGTGAAAAATCGGGACGTCCCGCGCAAATCGGGACACCTGGCAACACTATTTTCACCAGACCCGTGAGAGGTGCGAGCATGCTAAACGAGGGAGGGAAGAGCTTTATTTCAAAGCTTATATCATCTTCAGATCTGGAGTAAAGGTTTCGAAGTATCGATCTTTTTTATATAGTTGGTTGCTGAAGCGAGAGACATTATACGCTCCGTTACCGTTACACCACATAACTTTTTCGTGCATCTTCATCGCACAGATATCTCTCTCCTATCTTATTCGCCCTGATGCACTATTCAGTTTTGTTGAAAAGAGGCACATCCTAACCAAGCTTAGAGAACGATTCCCACACACGATTTATAAGCACAACTCTGGTAGAAAGACAGACTTAGCGAAGCTTCTATACTTTTCCAAATCGATTGCATCGAATAACTTGCAAATGGAGTGCTAACGTTTACATTTATATATTAACACACCTTATTTTCAAAAGAATTGAGAAAAAGTATGTAGTTAATTAACAAAGAAATTTGTGCAACATGTTTATTTCTGTTGTATCTTTTATTATTGGTGCTATTAGAAGTACTTTATAGATATAGTAAAAGAAAGTAAAAAAAAGAAGTACTTTATATATTTAAATAGGATATATTTGACGCCATCAAAAACACATTTCATAAGGATTCATGAAGAGATAAACAATAGTTTTCACACTGTTTCGTCAGTCAAAACTTAGGTCTAACATCTTATATCTAGAGTTCACAGTCTCCGGTCGACATCACCGATATTTTGGCGTATCGAGAAAGGCAACTGTTATGTCCTACAAAAATACGTGGGCAATGTCCATAATGCAGTCAAATATGAGCCACATTCAAAGAGAAAAATATGTCTCCCTTATTATTAATAATCAATATAATATATTATATACTCCGTATATTCTTATAATAAAATTCAGTTCAATAATACATCAATCTATCCTTAATTACAACTCACAAACACTCACGGAATAGTTTACGAGGTTTTGCACGTTAAAGTTCGGAAACTATCCGACTTACAATATTCTAGTCATTTGAGATGCAAGAGGGCGCGCGCGGGAGCGAGCAATCTTTGCGAGCGCTATTCGTTGAAGCGCGTACACGCTTTCTTCCACTTGCACTGTGTGCACCAAAGGTCACGTTGGTCCATGCCGTACACTTTGCGACACTTCTTGTTATCAGACCGCGGCCGCCGCCCCGGACTACCTGGCGACCCGCTCATTGCAGACAGCCGCATATGTTTCTGTAAAATAAATGTATGTTGCTTGTTACATGTATTATTAAATGGTCGAATTTAATTTAAAAAAATAATAATTCGGCATACCGGTGAGTGTGATGTGGACCAGGGGTGGGTAACTGGAATACTTATGGGCCTAGCGGAGGCGTTCTGCATCGTAGAGAGCAGCCCTTGTCTGAAAAAAAGGATGAAAATTATACCGGCAAGCAATAACCATCTCAACCATTATATTAATAAGGTACTCAATCTTTTTACATAGACCAATAAAATAGGAAAAAAATTACCTGTAGGAACCGACCAGCTGTCGTTGATAGTCCGGATCCTCGTGCGGCGGTCTACACATGTCTCGGTGGGACAAAGTGGGTGGTGGCGGCGGTGCTGCTACCTCGCGTTCCGTGTAATAAAATTCCTCCTCGTGATCACTCTCCCCCTCTTTCTTCGGCCTGGAACAAATATAAATATTGACTATTTAAGGGTATTTAATGGTTTTTACCCGACTGCCCCAGAATGAGGGTAATGTTTTATGAGGGTATGTACATATTTATGTATTTATATCTATTTCTTTGGCACGCTCTAGCTTAGACGGCTTGATGGATTTTAACACATGAGGTGTCGTTGGATTCATCTTAAATTTCCATTTCTAAGTTTTGGAACGCAGTTTCTTATCACATGGTACAAATTCGACGGATGCGGGCTAAGCGATAAAAGTGTAAGATTTTTCCGTCACGACCCCTTCTGACGTAGATCTACACTACGGTGTAGTTCAGTGGTTTAAACTTAGAAGAAGAAGTTTAAAATAAAACAGCGTCATGCCTTCTAGGGATGGTATGCAAGTGCTGATTCAATAGATATTAGTATTGTGCCATATCATCAAGTGGTTGTTGTAAGAGACGACCAAGGCAAATGACCGCATTACCAAGGGAATTCACCTACCTACAGTAGCAACTGTGGGAAATATCTTCCCCTTCTACCAAAATTACAAGCTGTAAAGTATAGAATAACTTTGTAACTTGTATTAGCTACAAAATATTGAGTGGCGTCTTGAGCTATCTTAAATACCTAAAACAACACGAAGTAAAGGCGACAACGACAATCGACAACTGTTGGACAATGTTATATAATAAGTATCCAACGGGTCGCGATGACCTTGTTAGTTACGGATCGAGATAGGTAGGTATATACATAGTTGAAAACCTTGGCGTGAAACCTTGCGCTTCCGGGTCACCAAGGGTGGGTATTTCTGCTTACTAAAATATAGATATATCAAGTCTTATTCGTTTACCTAATACAGCAGGGTTTTTAGCATTATTAAAATATAAAGCCAAACTTCAAAAACTCACATTGAACTTCTCTAGTTTATCTTTTTTGTTATTCAAGCACTAAAAGCTTTTGTTTAAAGTTATTAAAGATACATCTTATCAATTATAAACAGTCTACCGCGGGAACATGGGGCTCTCCTATAGTCAAGAGGATAGTAGACATGCTACAGACATGGTGGAAAAAATATATAAAATATTAATAGGTAATTAATATTTCAATAACATTCGTAAGAGGTGAAAGAGGGAATCTGAGACTGTAGATAGGCAGCAACATCTTCAAGATAAGAACTCACAATATTAATAAACTGAGGTTGGCAACCCATCCGCCAACTGTGGCAACTATGGCGCCTATTAGGCAGTATATATTAGCCTATGTTCAACGGTGGGCTGTGATAGGCTGTAATTATGATGATGAAATATTAAATATAACTTATTATTGTTCTTTTTTCTTTTATTTTATACATTATTGACACATAATCAGCTGTAACAACAGTTGGGTTTGAAATCCAATTGATGCAATACCACAGAACACCGAGATATAGCACGTTACTAATATATGATAACATATTGTTTCACATTTTTAACTATCTAAACACTCATTCCAACCAATATCCTATTCTTGTGAAATTCAATTATGTCCCAATTCTTAATTCTATACAAAAATACGGCACAAAGGGCTAAATATTTTAAATCTCCCAATTATAAAATATGCATGTTATTTTACGCATAATTATTTTAATTCTTCTTAATCGTCCATCAAAAGCCAACTGCTGGACAAAGGTCTCTTATAGGCAAGAATAAGCCGTCATCACTACGCTTGGTGGGCAGCTCAGCATTCGTAAAACGCAAATAGACATCTCGCATTTTTGACAATGCTCGCCGTTACCGTTAAGAATTTTGAAGTTTTAATAAGTCAGAGATTTTTGAAACAGCCACCTCAACCTCCACGGCCATTTCAACCTTTATGACACGGGGTGAATTAAAGCGATGGATTCTCATACATCAAACTTTGGTAGAGATCACGAGGTTCTGGCTGAGCTTATTTCGATATGAGCACGTTACTTACCCTAAATGCGTGTGTCGAATGTGCGCTTCTATTGATGAACAACTGTTGGTGATGTGACCGCAACCTCGCCAAGTGCATTCAAATACGACGCTGTTTATCTGTAACAAAATAAATTGCAGTCAATAACCAGAACAAAAAACTTTATTATAGACGATAAACTAATCTTTGTTTGGTTTTTTTTTGGCTAAGTAAGGTAGAATTTAAACACAGATTATGTCATAGAACATACTAAAATAAATAGTAATCTTTCTTTTGATTTTATTTTTAACTAGCTATTCCCCGCGACTTCGCACGCGTGTAATTAATTACGATTGGTTTTCATGTGATTTAATTATTTTGCGCGGAATTCGAATTATTCTTTAAAAACAAAAATAGCCTAAGTTACTCTCTAGTTACTCTCTAGCTATCTGCCAGTGAAAGTTCCGTCAAAATCTGTCCAGCCATTCCGGAGATTTGCCGGAACAAAGTGACAGACAGACAAAAATTTTAAAAATTGTGTTTTTGTTATAAGTACCGTATATACTTTCATATGCTTTTAATAAAAGGCTGTTATTATGACATTACAAACAGGCACTTCAATTTAATTAAAAATATATCATACATCATATTTTATAAGGAAGTATACAAAGTCCCAAACTAGATCTTCTAGATTAGAACGAATAAATGACTAGTATTTAATGTTAGTTTCGTACGTGGTAGAGCCACGCTGCAGCTATATTTTAGCTGTAGCACGAATGGGTGGGCTCGACCGGGGAAGGACCACGCTCTCACAGAATACCAGCGTCAAATAGCAGCTCAACACTGCTGTGTTTCGTATAGTGAGTGTAGAGAACCGGAGACCCTTTTTACTGGAAACGAGGCATTCCATCTTAGTCCTCACGGGTGGCAACACATCTGCATTTTGATTCGCAAACGAGGATAAATGGAGATGTCTATGGACCACAACACACACATACCATCAGGTGGACTGTGTGCTCGTTGGTCACCCTTATTCCATGGCTTCCGACATGATAGATGAATAGATTGAGTTGAAAAATTTATATTTTCAAAAGTTATCGTGTTTACTCTCCATGCGGACTTGATAAATCCACACCATAAGTCACTAAAACCACTTTTTTATGTAAAAATAGCAATTAATCGACTTAAAAAAATTAATAAGTTCAACAATCATTTAACTTTCTGAGAATGTGCTTTTTATCATTTATATGTACATTATGATTGTTAGATACGATTTCATGCGACAAAACGTTGGAATCTTGAATTTTAGGTTCTAGCACAGAATAAATAACAGTACTCTACGTAGTACGTAGCCCTAGTAGAGCATCCTACTAGCTTCGCACTTAAGGCATGCAAAATTATTACTGAATGCTGCATAAACTGCGTACTACTATATATAAACCGTAAAATAGTTCATTTATTTAAAATACAAAGAGTGGTTTGTAGTTTGTAGTAAGAATAAATATTGTAAACCATTTTGTGCATCTTTGTAAGTAATAACCGAACAATAGAAAGAAATAAAAAAATATTATCTTTGCAAGAAAAACTAATTATTACTGACGAAAGTCGAAATAGGTATTTCCTTTGTAGAGTTTTGAGTTTTCGTGTAGTTTGATTACATATTTGCGTAATGTCAAGTTTTGATTCATTACATTAAAATCAATGTTGCAAAAAAAATGTGTATTGTGATGTCGCGGGTGCTGACGGAAGCGGCTCTAGGTCGCGGCCTTGACGCTGCCGCAATAGAGCGCGCGCCCTCGTGCTCGTGTGTAGCCGCACCCGCGCATTGAAGCCGTATGTGCAATAGTTATAACGCGACTACGATTATCCCATCTTAAACACTAAGAATTTTTATTGTTTTAAATTGTAATGAAAAGAAAAAAAATGTAAATTATACTTTAATATTAATTTATTAAAATTATATCTGATGAGTTAATAACTTCAAAAAAAAAACGCAAAGCTACTTTTTGTCCAGTGTCAAATAAGAACCGATCAATTAAAAAAAAATGCTTGAAATTTTAATTCGTATTCATAACATATTTACATACTGAACTTATTGCGTATTATATTTACTTGAAATTAAAGTTTAAGACACATCGCAACGACGATGAATATTCGTTAAAATATACCGTTATAATTATTAGTTTATAACTAATATCGCTAGTGTATAGACAACTGGGCCAAATAGGTTACGTGAAAGCTATGTCAGGGGCGTGAATTTAGTTGCGCGCGTGGAAGGCGATCGTTCCCCACTTGGTAACTGCGGCTAAATGAAGTGCATTTGTAACTAGGTCAGGTCACGTCGAGTGGGGTGAGGGAGGGTGAAATGGGAAAGCATCTAGGTCGCAGCACCACGGCCAAGGGTGGTCGGCGAAGGTTGCACTCTTCGCCTCATTCGAGGACAACTATTATTAATCTTTTTAAATGTCTATTCATGAAGTTGTGCATCTTAGCAAGTAAAGATAAAAACGTACATTTAGATATTTATAGTTTACCATATCAGAACAAGCAAGAAAGAAAGACGGAGAGTTCCGTACATTTCAAGTGATGCTTACGTACAAAAAAGTCAAAACCCTGTTCAAATTATTGCACCAACACGCACTCACGTACGCGTATCTAAAATATCTAAAATCATTTGCAACCAACATGACTTCAGCAGCAGCAGTTAACTTTTTGGGGCTGATAAAGAAAGAACAAAGAAATTTGTTCGCGTAAGTGCGTCAAGAAGTTGAGTAGCGCTTCGTCTATCTTCCTCTGTTGGTCCAAGTTTACCATAAAATAATAAGCATTTATGGAAGGTTATGAAATTTTTTGGAATATCTAGAATTTAGATACCTTAAACCTTAAGCTAAGATGAGTTCTTTAGCAAGTTATAGTAAGTTATACTTAATATAAATAAGTTATACTTAATATAAATAAGTTATACTTAATATAAATAAGTTATACTTAATATAAATAAGTTATACTTACTTAATATTATCAAATGCAGTATTTATTATAAATGATCTAGAAACGTGAATACCTACTCCTTAGTTATAAAACTGATTACCTGGCACTTCTCTAGTTTGTTCTATAATAGCCCTTGGTAGCTGCATTTGTGTGCTATAGCTACGCGTTACACGTGCCGGTTTGTTTAAATGTGTGCGAGCCAGTGAATAGATGAGATAATGCAACAGTCGCTTGTGCGCATGTGCGTTCAATTCAATGCCACTACCGTATGATGCAGTTGGCAAGTGTTAAAAACACAAAACCATAGAAAAAGCGAGTTTGTGTTTTGTATTATATAGTTAATGAGAAAGATAAATTGCCATTATTTTATTTGCATTAATTAATATTTCATCAACGCTTAATAATACAAGTGGTAAAATTAAAAATTTTGTACAACCGAATTGAATAAAAATTAAAAAAAAGAATCATCAAAATTGGTTCACCTAGTAAAAAGTTATGAGGTAAAATAAATTAACAAAACATAGAGCCGAATTCAGTACCTCCTCCTTTTTGGAGTCGATTAAAAATTAATATTTTTGTAAGCTTCACATTTTTAGTTATACATATGACATACGTATCATAATATATAACTTATCATATGTATGACACATGTATAATTATTAAAAGAATTATTAAAACTTATTGTTTATATACCTAGCAAAAATAAACGTGCGTAGATTAAAATAATAATGCAGAATTAGGTGCCTACTTTATTATAAAGTCACACTTGCACATCACTGATGATCAACGATATTTATTTTAAAGCCTGAAATATGTAATAATAACCTTTGTCATTTCTATTTTCCATATTCATTTATCTTTGATTTTATTAAATGATTGCCTAAAGAAAAAAAATAGTTTAAGTTATTATAAAAACACAATTCAATAAAAAATTTACAAAGAGATATTCCATCACACACAGTTATTGCATCAGTAAAAACTAAAACAAGTTTCGTTTCAACGTAAAGATAATTGTATTGCACAGCATTAAGGTTTATATTTGAATAATACGTTATTAAGTAACGCAAACCGCAATAAAATGCCGGTTTGTTATTATGCCATCTCACTCGCCGGCGAAACACCAAGATCACTTATTGATTTGTTTTCATTGTGTCTCTTTTTCGCAGATTGCCACATATATATGTTCGTTTCATCTGCGTGACCTTCTGTTTATTTACTTCACACTATGTGGATAGTTGGGATGTTTTGGTGTCATCTCGCTCTAGCGATATGCTGTAGACCTGTTTCTTGTTGCGAAGAACGCGGAAAGTAAATTAGTTAAATAGTATGGTTTTGATTTACATACACATGTTAAAGTGGTGAAGATATAGTTGTAAGTAGATACTACATATGTATGTAATACACTTCTACTACATTGCTACGCACTACGCATCAAGATCATCTTTTAAAATAAAAATATATAAATTTCTATTTATATATTTTTATATATCATCCATCTATCCATTACAGCCTATAAAATAAGTCTAAAGTGCATTGCTGATCATAGGCTTCCATCATACATTGCCTCATAGAGGGGATTTTGCCATAATTGCCACGCTTGCAAGCGGGTTGGCATCCGCAGTTTTTTTATTATTTTTAGTTGTTATTAGGAAGTTGCGGCAGCCCACCTCCTGGTTCAGTTTATCTCGCCGTTACGCGTTAATATAATAGAAATTAATTTAATTCCAGCCACAGAACTTATAGAGTTTGGTCACGTGCTCAAATCAGACACCCGTATCCACCCCTCTCAATATACTCGTACTTCGTCAACAGCCATACTGTTTACAAACAATCTACTCTCGTGTTCGAACTTCAAAATGTATAACAAACCAAACAAAGAACATTTCATTTCCGTGAAAACAATTCATTCAGTCGTATCGTAATAAAAGTTGAAAAATATTATTGGTTTATTATAAAGAATATATCAAGGCAACAATAACAACATACCGTAACGATTTGATATATATAAATAAGGGAGGCGGCGTCAGCTGCTCTACTCTATACAGTGTACAGTGCACCCTATAAAAATGCAGGTCAGTGAACCTTTCGATAAATGTAGGTAACTATTTTTTCATTAGTTAGGTATCTATTTAAAACATTTTTTCTAAAAAAT